TCTTTGCTATGTGGCTTTTTTGTTGTTATTGTTTATTATTCACTTTGTTTTTTTCTTTTTTCCCTGGGTGGGGTCGGTCTGTCCAGGGGGCTATGCTGAGCTGGCCCAGGGTTGTCTGTGCGAGTACTGCATGCCGCTCTAAGCTCACCTGGTGGTCTGCACTTCTCCCAAGCTGGTAGGCGCTGACCTGGCGGATTGAGAGGCCCTCCTGTTTCTCCATTTAACGTGAAATGGAGATGTTATGCGCGGGACTCTTTGCTATATGCTTTTTTGTTGTTATTTTTATTTTTTTGTTTTTTTTCTTTTTTCCCTGGGTGGGGTCGGTCTGTCCAGGGGGCTATGCTGAGCTGGCCCAGGGTTGTCTGTGCGAGTACTGCATGCCGCTTAGCTCACCTGGTGGTCTGCTTCTCCCAAGCTGGTTAGGCGCTGGCACCTGGCGGCATGAGAGCCCTCCTGGTTTCTCCATTTAACGTGAAATGGAGATGTTATGCGCGGGCTGGGGGTGTGGTGGTGTTGGAGTTTTATCTCTTCTTGGTGTTTTTTCCTGCATGGTGTTCTCCAGTGTCCCTATTTGTGGAGTGTGTCTCAAGCACCAGTACTTTTACCATAGTCTATTGGTCACACAGGCTACCCTGATGAATGTGTGAGGAATCTACACAGGTCATGAGTACCAAAAGAAGTGAGGATCACTGGGGCCATCTTGGAGGCTGGCTACCAACCCTTCCTCTCCAGACCTAACATAATCATTCTCACAATTATGTGCCACCAGCAATTAAATATTTCAAATTTCCAGAACTCAACAGGGCTGTGTCCTTCATTTCTGTGTTCCTTATGCCTGTTAGATTTTTTTTCTCCCTTGTATTTGCATGGTGAATTATGTTCATTCAAAAGTGTGTGCCTAAACTTAGTGCCTGGTACAAGATGGGAACTCAATACACATTGAGCTGAAATCCAAGGGAAGATTGGACCACATCTTCAGAAGAGATGGCTAGGTAGGATCCATGGTCCCAGTTAGCACTGCCTTGAAACAAGCCGAAAGCCAGGAAAGACAGAGCTTGCGGCTTATCTAGGCTATTTTGAAAAGGGATATCCATATTTTTTCTAAGAAGCCACAGTCATTCAACTGAGATAAACTTCCCCCAGATTTATAAACATCAATGCCCCAAATAATAAAGCTTGAGGATTTGATAAAAAGTGTTAGAGAAGATAATCCAGAGAGCACCATGTCAAGAGAGGGTTGGTCAGCCTACTGCCGTAACAATGTTGCCTAACAAAGAATCACAAAACCTGAATAATATATAGTGATGAATACTTGTTTCTTGAGCAGGAGTTTGTGGCTGAGGTGGCTTCGCTTTATCTCTCAGAGGCTGGGTTGCCTTGGGAGGACACTGCTCCAAGCCTCTGCCATAGGTGGGGTGACTAGTGATGACAGGCACCAGAAAACATATCCCATGTCACCAACACATTTCCACATACTTCTGAGTACTTCACTCAGCCAATACAGGTTCCATGCCCAACTCAGAGTCAAGGGGTCAAGAAACACTGAGAAGAACCTCAGTTACAAGGTAATGGTCCAGTAAAAGGAGGGGTAAATTGAGGCAGAAAACTCCATCTCTCAAAGCAAGAAAAAAAGACAATATTTTGGAAAGACAAAAAATGTTTCTAGCTGTTGAAAGATTGCTTCCCAAAGTAAACTTACAAATCTACTTCAAAAGTATTTCTGTTGGAGTCAAGTTGTCAATTCTGTATGTATTAGTTTTCTATTGTTATAACTGAACACCACATATTGGGTAATTTATAAAGAGTAAAGACTTATTCAGATCACAGTTCTAGAGGGTTGAGAGACTCAAGGACAAGAGTTCACATCTGATAAGGACTTTTTGCTGATGGGGACTCTGTAGAGTCCTAAGGTAGCATAGGACACCACATAGCCAGAGGGCCACCTACAAGAGACAAAGTCAAACTGGCTTTTATTACAGACCCTCTCTCCAGATAATCTGCTAACCCATTCATTCATTAACTCATAAATGGTTCATCCATGTGGACAGAGATTCCTGACCTAATTACATCTTAAAGGTCCCACCTCTTATTACCTCACACTGGGGACGAAATTTCAACATGAGTTTTGGTGAGAACATTCAAAACATAGCCCTGTACAAATTTTAATGACTATGTTAATATTTATATTATTTTACAGTATATGTTTGTTGACAATATGTTTGAACTAACTTGTGAAATTATGGAAGAAGTGAGAATCCTAAGGGTTCTTGCACTACTCTGAAGGAGAACAAAATGGAAAATGGGTTGAGACACAGTGCAGAAGGTGAAGCTGGTCCTTCAAACTCACTCATCTCAGAGTGGTTTTCTGCAGATGATTTCTAGTCAAGAAAACATCTACTGTAATGTCTACCCACTGAAAATGTCTAGTATGACAGGGATTACCCAAAACCTTTTGGTTGTAGCAAGCTTTTTGTTGGTGGCCAGTTTGTTGTGGCACTTACACAGGAATTCAAACTGACATCCTTGCTTTCTCTCTCTCCCTGATGCTAGGAAGCTCAAGATTAACATTCTTTCAACCAAACCAGAAACTGGATGGTCTCTGAACCCCATCCCCATCTCTTTCTGAACTCAGGAGGTAATAAACCTGTCAAACAAGACATAATTTCAGAGATGCCATGCCAGTGAACCAGGGCCACCATCTGGCCTTTGGGGCACACCCACTGTCATGCATCCCTGAACAGAAGCCTGAGCATTCCCTTCAAAGCCAGATATTTACTCTGAGGGGCAGGACAGCACACTTTGAGACTGGATTTCACTGTCCTCCTCACTTGCCTGGTGAATTAATAAAAACTTTTTCCTTTTCCTCAAAACCCTACTCTTGCTACTTGTATGTTGGCACCATGTCCAGGAGACGAACTTTTGGTTAACAATAGTAGAATCTTAGACGCCTGAGGCAATGTTTGGGATTGAAGTTCCAATGACAGAAGGTCAGGCAGCCTGACAACGAAGTGAATGATTCCTCCCTGAAAGTCAAGAGCACTTTTCAGCATTTAAAGCACTTCTACACATTAGGCTGAACCATAGTGTTAACTTCATGTGATTCAATCTACGATTCACATTTTTTTATAGTACTGGTCAGACTTGGGCAAGAAACAGATTGAGAGGAAATGACTGGCTCTAGATCCCTCTGCAAATGTCAGTAGGAGGCCCAGAATCCAAGTAATCTGGTATCATTCAATAGTTATTCTCTTCCATGGACTGTGGCAGAAGTATTTTAAAACACTCTTTGCTTTGTCCACTCCTGTCCCTTCCCTCTGCTCTCTCTCGCATGCACACACCTGTTCCTTCTCTTTGCCTCATTTCCACCTGCTGATCATCTTGGTGGCCTGGCCTCATTCCCTTCTGATGGCTAGCTGAGATCCTGTGGACTGTGGTGTCCTTCCCTCCCTGGAGCCACAGCTTAATTTGCCAGCCTCTTTATATGATGGCTGGACTCTTACAACAGACCAAGAGCTTTTGCTCCTCGGCCCCGAAAACATTAAATAATTAACTTCCATCACTCTCTTTTGTGTGTTTTATCTCTGCATCACCCAAAATAGCTGTTGGCATTTCCTCTGCATAAATAGAAAGCAGAAAGGTCAATTGGCATTCGTGAAATATATATATGTATAGATTTACAAAGCAGCAAGGTGGCAAGGTTCCTTTATTCCCTCCTATGGGTGAATGTGTCATGCCAAGCAACTTCCTAGTTCTTTAACTCCTTAGCTGATTTTCCCTGCCATTTTGCAGTTTGACACTGCAGTGTCCCAAAATTTAGACTGTGTGCAGCTGAAGGAGGAAGGATTTTCCCAATGGTAGTTTTCTTCAAGTCAAGTTAAATCTTACTCCCCTCCACCACTCTAGTGAACCAAAGGGAAAAGTAGACTTGACTGAGTTTCTCTTAAGAGTCAAGGGGCTATGACCCAAAATAGTATTTCCCCAGGAATCTCCTTGTAAGCCTGATGCAGTGTACAACACCAGTCCCAGGAGGGTAAGATATTTTCAGTCTGCACCCACCTTAGAAACATGTTCTAAAACACAGGGCACTGTTCTCCTGGTGTATTAATCTGTCTGTGAAGAGACTCTGAAAATCTAACAATTTCTTCTTCAGACCCAGAAACTCACACAAACATTGTTCTGTTCCAATGTTATAAAATCATAAGATTTAGAAACTTTTACTAATTTGAGTTCTACTCTAGTGACCTTCTTGCAATCTGGTTGGTCATAAAAGGATACGGGGGCTCCAGGGGGGCTCCTCCAGGGGTGAGGTCTCTTCTTTGTTGATGTACATGTGCTCTCTCCTCTAAGTAAAAGTTATCACTAGAACAATGTGTACATTTAACAAAATACTTTTGAGAAAAAAATAGGTGATTTATTTCGTAACAATGCATATAACCATGTATATATTTATTATGAATAAAAGTCTTCAATGCTCTGTGAATCAGTTTGGAGACTAAATCCTAAAAGGGAGTCTCTTTGGGGATTTTCAATCTAGGTCTATATTTATGAAACTTTTGCTTGTTACTGATGAAGAGGAAAAGGTAGACCAAAAACAGGTCACCTGGGACAGACACATCTGACTCCTGGGAGCTCAGCTTATCTGAGGCCAGCATTCAGTGACTGTCACAAGCAAGCTGGCCACAGTTCACAGAGACCCAAGGTGGCCAGGCATTGAGGTCTGTCCCCCATCTGGCTTTTCCCAGTTCATCTTCAGCAAAATTCAACTCTGTTGGATGCCAAGGGCACAGGGGAGGGAGGGAAACCTTTTCAGGTTGCCAAAGTTGATGTATTAGCTTACCTAGGGGCATGGATCAAACAACACTCAGTGGCCTGTGACTCCAAGTTCAGGTGGCCATGTGTGCTCCTTTCTACAGGAGACTCCTTCTGAGGAGGAATGAAAAGAGGACAGCCCCAGCTAAGTACTCATTTCCCAGAGTCCAGTTTACATGCTTCATGGGTTTTCACAGGAATTTGTCCCCTTCAACTTCTGCTTGTTTTAACAGCTCCTGAGTGATGGTTCTGGAGAGGGGCTCTTTCCCCATTGTGATTAGTAACTGCTCCTCAAAGTAGAGGAGCTGGTCAACTTCAAAGCAGTCACTGGCCCGCGGTACAACTTTTTCAAGACCCTCCTGGATCTCTGTCTCACTGGCATTCTGATGCCTTGCTCTCTTGAGGTAATTATAGACCTCCTCAAATACTTCTGCTCCCAGCTTCTGCACGGCCAATCTGCCAAGGAAGTTAGGAAAGATCAGGACAAATTATACATGGAGATCACCTGCAAGAAAAGTTGCAGTAAATGTAATGTAACCAATGTAAATCATTGGTTAGACAAATAGCATTGTTGCCCTGGGATTTGGCAAAGAAAAGAGGAACAAATAAGGCCCAATATATCGCTGTAAACATTTAACAATATTCAATAAATAATGCTTGAATGTTGATTGTGTTTCGAGTTCTTGTCCAGAAACCGATCGTAGCAGTAAATAAGTTAGGCAGCTTCTTGCCTTCATGTGTGTATATTTACACAGCATACATCAGTTTCTCATCACTGTGATAAAACGCCCCAGGCAGCTTGCATCACGTCAAGGCAGGGATAGTAATAACAGGAGTGGGTGGCAGCGCAGGCAAGTGATTACATCCCCAACCAGGAGCAGAGAGAGAGAATGGGAGGGACCAGACTTGCTCCTTTTATAACAACACTCCCTAGAGAACTTAAGAGGTGACACAAGAACTACCCAGGAGATACACGTGACCTACCTCATAACTCCAGTGACCTAAGGACTTCCAAGAGGTTCCCCTGCTGTCCCACAGTGCCATGATGGAGACCAGATCGCCAATCACAGCAGACCCTCAAGGGTCACCCAAACCATAACCAAACCTCAGTACACATAAGTCACCTGCAGAAGTGACATTTCAGCAGAGACCCTCATGAGGAAAGGAAAATACAAGGGGCAAGAGAAGTTGGGAATAAGGCTAGAATAGGTTGGAGAAATATTAAGTGTGGCTAGTGTCAGGAGAAAAAAGGGACAAGGACGGAGGGATGTACAATGAAGAAACACCTAATGACACAAGTAATGATGATGATGAGAAGGAGGAAAATGAGGGTGAGAAGAATCACTACCAATCGCTTGCCAGGCATTTTCCTGCCATATGTACCCTTATGCTCTCACTGAATTAACAGCTTTTTGAAAGGGCATTTTTTAATATTATGAGAGGGATATTTATGATGACAAAATTGAGGTTTAAAGAGGTAAAGTAATGTGCCCAACTCAACATTCATTTTCTTTCACCCTCCTCCATATATAGATGTAATCTTTGCTTTGTTGTCATCATATTGCCACAAATCATATGCTTATTTCACATATGACTAGACATGTGCACAGGAAGTGTTTATAGAATGAAGAAATGACCATGGAGCCATAAAGGGCCCTGAGGAAAACACAAAGTGCTATAAAGTTTACAGCAGGGGAAGTCAGGGAATGTCTTTGGAAGAGACAACATCTCACCTGGGCCTCAGTTGGAGGGAAGCCAGGTATGGCCAGCACCAGGGAGACCACAAGTCACTTTGGCAGGTGACTAAGATGTGAAGATGAGGGTGAGAAACACAGGGACACGATGGCTAAAGAAAGCTTAGAATCTGAATACAGATGGTCCCTGACTTACCTTATTCAACTTTTGACTTTTTCACTTTATTTTTTGGGGGTACTTGGGTTTGAACTCAGGGCCTTGCATTTGCTAGGCAGGAGCACTATCACTTGAGCCATGCTCCCAGCCTTTTTTGATTTGGCTATTTTTGAGATAGGGTCTTGCATTTATACTCCAGCTAACCTGGACTGTGATCCTCCTAGTTATGCTTCCCACATGGCGAGGATGACAGGTGGATGCTACCACATCCAGTTTTTTTTATCAGTTGAGGGATAGGGTCTCATGAACCTTTTGCCTGGGCTGGCCTGGAACCCAGCACTCCTGGATGTCTACCTCCCTAGTAGCTAGGATTACAGACTTGAGTCGCCACGCCTGATTCAACTTCAAGATGGTGCAAAAGTGATAGGAGTTCAGCAGAAACCGTACTTCAGATTTCAGATTTTGATATCCTCCTGTGCTCCTATGATACTCTTGTGAAGCTGGAGCAGTAGCAAGACGTAGCTCCCAGCCAGCCACATGCTCACTAGGGAAACAACTTACCCTTACTGTGTACTGTGCTGCCAGTGCTGTTTGCATATGGGTATTACATGAGAATTCTACATTTTATTATGAAATAGGCTTTGTGTGTGTTAGATGGTTTTGCCCAATTGTAGACAATTAAGTTTTTTGAGCATTTAAGGTAGGCTGGGCTAAGTTATGATGTTTATTAGGCTAGATAACCTTACAATAAGTCAAGAAGCATCCTCAATATGTCACCTATGAGGATGAGCACCTTCCGAAACTGTGATGACGCATGTCTCTCGTGCAACAGCCTCGATACTGAGCCATCCCCTCACTTCATCCCACCATGTCCTCGAACCCCAATAGGTAGATATGTTACTCTCGTTTTATAGGTGAGGAGACTGACATGCACACAGGGTAAATACCTTCCCACTGCACAGTGTGTAAGTGGCGAGTCAGCGTCGGACCCAGGAGCCTCACACTAGGACTTGGTATGGACCTTGGATCTGTATTGAGAGAGCCATGGGTTGAATCTTAGCTCTGCCCTTCACTGGCAGCATGACCTTGAGACAGTTACTTAATGCTATATGTCAATGTTGGTGTTCCTCCAAATGCATATGCTGAACTAAATCCCCCATGTGATGGTGTGAAGAGGTGGGGTCTTTGGGGATGTGATTAAGTCATGAGGGCTCTGCACTCATGAATGGGACTGCTTCCCCTATAAAAGAAAGGGAAGGAAGTGTCTCCTTTCCATCATGCAAGGACACACAAAAAGCGTCCTCACCAGACACGGAATCTGCTGGCACCTTCCATCTTGAACTTCCCAGCCTCCCTAAGTAGGAACAATAAATTCCTGTCTAAAGTATTTTGTTATAGTAGCAGGAAAAGACTAAGATACTTAACCTCTTTGAGCCTTGGGTTTTTTGTCTTTAAATAGAGATCTGATACTCACGCACACACACCTCTTAGCAGAGATTCTGCCACATACCCTGCACTCAATAGCCATGGCCTTACATTGGACAAATTATTATTTTCCCCTATGCTGAATTGCACAGCAATCTTATTTCTATTTAACTGGAAGCCTCAAGCAATTTTATAGTTCTGTGGATGAAAAAAAGACACAGGGGCCAGTAGCACAGTAGCAGCGAAGACATGTAATTTCATAGAAATTATCATGAAAACCAAGTTTAGCAGAACACACAGAGAACACAAAGGTTCTTCTTCAGGCACAGTTTAAGAAAGTGCTGGAAATGACTTTAGGCACTCTAAGCATCCCCTGTACATCAAATATGCGTGAGTGAGTGCATCAAATGTGCGTGTGCTGTCTCTCTAACGCTGCAGTCCCACCACCATCTGGGCTAACACGCAGCTGTCTACAAATGGCAGACGGAGTCAAGGAGGCAGCGCTTGAGCACGCAGCATGCCCAGGTGGACAGGACATGCAACCGCAATGCCCACTCTGTTGATGGTGCGTCCCTTGTCCCTTCTGCTCTGTCCACCCTGGGCAGGATGTTTTTGTTTTTGGCAGTACTGAGGGTTGAAACCAGGGCCTCCTGCTTGCCAGGTAGGCAGGCGCTCTACCACTTGAGTCATGCCCCCTCCCTTTCTGCTTTCATTGCTTTTCCAATAACGTCTCGAGTTTATGCCCGGGCTGTCCTGGACCACAATCCTCCTATTTATGCTTCCCATGTAGCTGGGATCACAGGTGTGCATCACCACACCAGCTTTTTTGGTTGAGATGGGGTCTTGTGAACTTTTGTGTGGGCTGGCTTTGAACCTCTATTCTCCTGAGCTTCACCTCCCGAGTACCTGGAATTATAGATGTGAGTCATGCATCTGGCACTGGGAAGGTACAAGGTGGTCTGGCAGCCTGTTAAAGTCAACCATTCCTGAAAGGATTACTCATAATCACAGCTGATGAAGATGAATTAGATTCACTGATTAAAAGACAAAATCCACTTGGGTACTATTTTCGAGACACACCTAAAATGTAAGGTCATTAAGAGGCTAACAGTAAAAGAAAAATAAAGATCCCAAGCAAATAATAACCCTAAGTGTTCTGGGATAGCCATATTAATAGGAGACAAATAGATTTTAAGTTTCAAAAAGCAATATTAGGGATAAGCAAAGATATTCAATAATGATAACATTTCAGTGCACAAGGAAGAAGTAAAAACTCTCAACTGAAATAACAATTAAAATACATAACACACTACAGACAGAAACTATCAGACATACCTCATCTGATAGGTGAAGCACTTAAAATATTAACAATGACATAGACAATCTGAACAACACACTTAATAAGGTGAATTTCATGAACACACACAGAGCCTAACCACACTGACAACTCGGGACACACATCTCTGTTTTTTGTTACATTTGCAAAACCTAACCATATACTAGACAATGCATGTCTCAACACATGCAACAAAATTGTTAGAAATCTGTAATAAAAGTATAGGTTAAGCTGGGCACCAGTGACTCACACCAGTAATCCCAGCTACTCAGGAGGCAGAGATCAGGAAGATCAAGGTTCAAAGCCAGCCCAAATACTTCTCCAAAAACGATAGCATGATTTTGCTGAGCTTTTTCTCCACATCTTCCTAATCTCTTAATGCTGGAGTGTCCAGTGCTCAGTCCCTATGCTTTTTTTGTCTTCTGTCTGCAGAAGCTCTTCTTGAGCTCATCCAAGCTCAAGGCTCTAAATGCCTCCCATAAACTAGTGGTTCTTAAATATGTACTGCTCCTTTATCCCCTGAACTCCAGATTCATCATCCCACTGTCCACCTGCTATCTCTACTTCCATGTCCAGTAGGTGTGTTATGCATATTGTGCCCAATGGGATTCCTGATCCTCCCTCCAAAACAACCTAATGCTGCATCCCTCCCCATTTCTGTGTCCGCTTCTGCCTTCCAGTTGCTCAGGCTCCAAACCTTTGGGTCATCCTTGAGTGCTCTCTTTCTGTCATGATCCATTACTCTCAGAATCTGACTAGTGAGTCACTCCTATCAGCAACATTTTCAAAATGTATCAGAATCCCAACGCTTCTCCTTATTCCCACTATGTCTCTGGCCCCAGCT